GTATAATGAGGAAGGCACTCTGACCAAGCCAATGTGAAAAAGGCCATGTATGGGCACCCAAATGTCTGGAAAAGTCAAAGAGAAAAGAGTTGCCATTGACGGTCCACTCCATGGAGATATGATGGAACTGAGAAAGACTGTTAGCCAGGATGTTGGACAGGTCCTGAGGTGAACAGCTAAGAGTCAAATCCTGGGAAGCCAGAAGACAAACTGCATGTAGAATCTAGCTCTAAAGAGACTGGAACTGAAGAGAACCCCCAGTTGAGAAAATGAACCATGAGTAGACAGTCCATAAGTGAGGCATCTGTGGAAACATCAAGTGAGGGGGAAAGGAAAGTACCAGGGAACTGAACCCTGAAAAATCTGAGGCGGCAATGAAATGAGGCAGCTGGTGACGCAGCAGCTGGCAAAGAAGGGCTTCCTGAGACCACAACCAGTGATCACGATTATGGCCTGGTCGAGGACTGGGCCACAGGGACGCTAAGCCCCAAAACCATTGTAAGATAATGGTGGAACAGCTGGCTCTAGAGAATCAAAATGGCCTCTGAAACCAAACCCTGCTCAAAGAAGAACTAGAAGGGCCAAGGTGAGGCTTACTTGAGCATCCACCTTGTCACCCAGCACGCGCTCAACATCAACAGATGGAGGTGCTGCAGCTGGGTCAAAGCTGCTGGAGGCAGAGAGAGTGAAGCTGACTGCAAGTCGCAATCAAGGCCCAGCAAAGTCCAAACCTGGGATGGAACCAAATGGGTCTCCTGTGAGTTCAACATAAATTTGACCTGGAGAGCTGAGAAAGGACCAAATCCCTAGCTGGTAGACATGAGGACTAGCCGAGAGTCCACACCAGCAAGTTGCCAAGGTAGCCAGAATCCGAACACCAAGACAAAAATGGGCCACCACGACCCGAGCCAAACACGTGAAAACACAAGAAGCCAAATTGAGCCTGAATGGGAGGACCCAAAAATGGAAAACTTGCCACCCCACAACAAAGTTTAACCAATCCCTAAACCCTGGATGGATAGGGTTGCACCAAGATGCATCCTTGAGGTCCAAGGAAATTATTCATACCTCGAGAATGAAATAAACTTGGGACAACATGATCATTCAAAAGGAGGGGGGCCAAGAATGAACCGGTTTAACCTGGACAGATTGAGGATGAACCAAAGATCCGGAGAATCCCATTTCTTGACTGGAAAAAAGGCAGGAAACGCACCAAATTAAAGGGGTAATTAAACCAATGAAGACACCCACTCCAAGATGACCCAATGAAGAGGAGGAGAGAAGCTCTACCTGGAAAGACCTCAAACCCCAAAGGGATGAGGGACTGACCAACTCCACTGCAGACCACAAAAAACGACCCGAAAAGTCCACGAATCATAGAACCACACCGGCAAACTACACTGGCTGGTGTGGTTTGTCGGTGCCTCCCCCCCCCCCACTGCCCCGTCAATGGGGCAAACAGCAAAAGGCCCAGAGCAAACCCCTTAAACCGAACTTCAGAAAGGAACAAACAAGTGCCAACCACAAGAATTAAAACTGTCCGAGGGAAGTGCACGTGGTGCACTCCTGGCTCTAAAACAGGGCTACCTCAACCAACAGCAGGCGTCAAACTAGCCTTACCAAACTGCCTTGAAACATGAGGACAACCCCAAAGACACAGGAAATCTAACACCAGCCGACAAGCAATATATGCAGAGGACAATAACCAGTCTACAACCTCCACCGGAAACAACTACAGAGAAAAAGAGTGGCAGAAGTAAGAGCTAGAGGCCCACATCCAATCCAAGGAAGACACTAGCACAACATGCAAGCTAGGAGGAAAAAAATACCGCCACCGCCTCCCGGAGGATAGAGGCACACCGTGTAAGAAGAGCCATCGATGGCACCACAGTGGATACCAAAACCCCAGCATGAGCAGCACTGCTGAGCTCCCCAAAGTCCTCCAAGAGCCAATCCAAAAGCTGCTCCAGAAGGCTTGAGAAATGCACAACAGTGCCAAAGAAGCAAAGGAATGCAAAGATCCTCTGCCAAGCAAGAGTAAACTGATAGACATTAAGATGTGCAAAAGAAGCATTCCCCCAGAAACACCTATAACACAGAAGAAGCCTCATGCCACTCAAGCGAGCAGGACTGGCAGAAACCACGCCGAGCCCCAAGAGAAAACTGAGTTATCTGCCAGCCAGAAAACTCTGGAATTTCACGTCGCATCCTAAAAGGAGAAGATCCGAAATCAAAAGTGGCCTGAACCATCAACAAGGTGGAAACCTGGTTGCACAAAAGATACATAGAGAGAGAGAGCCTCCCGAGCCTCAGCTGGGGAAGGTTAAAATGTCTGACACCTCTACAAGGACGAATCCGAGAAACACAAAGGCACTCGGAACTGCACCCTGGATGATGCTGCATCAATGACAAACTCATACAATGACGTGGGATTTGAAAACCTCTTTCCCTGCAACAGAAGACCTCTGCAGAAAGAACCAAACCCCACAAATGACTCATGCCAGACTCCCTTCAGCCACAGAAGCCACAGCTGAGGGCCCCTGGAACAATCATCATCCACATCCACCGCCCAGGATAGAGAAGCAGAGTCCAACGGAAAGGCTTCAAAGACTGAGGCGGGCTGAAAGAAGACACAAAAAGCTCAGTGGGCTTTCAGGTTCAGCTGCTTCTGTACCCAGGTTGAAGGTACAAACCCAGCTGACCAAGCCACATCCAGAGCTAACCAAGATCAACCCTGAAACTTTCAGATGCTTTTGGGCCGGAAACAAGATGGAGTGTGTACAATGCCAAACGGGAAAGGAAGAGAAGGTCCTGGGCAGTTCAGAGGCATCCAATCAGATACACAACCTACACTGCAGTAAAACAGAAAACCTCAAGCGTAAAGCGGTCACTGCCTGGAAACCCTGAATGTCATCAGAATGGTTTGTAAGGAGAGCAACATGCAGAGAACAAGTACCACATAACTTGGGGTCAATAATGTAACTGACCTAGCAGGAAGCATGGTGGAGGCAGATGGAATTAGCATCGCCACGTGGTACAGATAATGCATAACCCCACAAACTCTCACATGGCAAGCAGGGTCTGCAGGGAATGGCACTGGAATTGCTATGCCAGAACCCCAGAATACAAACCAGGTCCCTTAGAAGGGAAGTTTCTTTGTATCAAAATATGAATGAGATAGTCGTATGAACCATTGAACGGTTATAAGTAGGTCAACACGGCTCTTCTCAGGCTGAGAAGGCCAACCTCGACATGCCTTAGTTGGGGCACACTGAGGTTTGTGCAACCTATCAGCCAAAATTCATTCCCGACCCCAGGGAAGAAAAAAAAAAGCCAAAAACAGACTTAACCAGGGCAAGGACCACCACAAGTGAGGAAGCCCCTCTAAAGGCATGAACCCTTAACACTCCAGGGAAGGGAACCCTGGCAGCACAAGGGCAGCATAAGGGAGCAAACAGGGAAGAAAAGCCTGTGCACATGCAGCTCTAAGCACCCTGTACTCCTGGCTGACACAGCACAAATGCGTGTTGGGAAAGCCACAAAGGCAAAACCACCACTTAACTGAAGCAGGACATGGGAGCCAAAGCAACAGAGAGGGTTTCAAACTGTCTACCATCAGCAAGAACCGAGGGTGGAACAGCTGGCGGATCTGGTCTGCCTCCCTACTTCCCCCATACGAGGAAGGGAGGCGAGTTGAACGAGCTTGCACTAGTTTTATAAATTTTTGATCATTTGTTTACACTGTTGGAAGAGTTCTTTTGGCAATTTGAGGAACATGGGCAGGGAGGAACTCTGCCCATTTAACAATGGGCAGAGTTTCTTTCACCCTATGCCCCTGTTACCTAGCAGTAAAATAGGTACCTGGGTGTTAGTCAGCTGTCACGAGCTGCTTCCTGGGGGGTGAAGGTCTGGTCGAGGACCGGGCCGCGGGGACACTAAAAAGCCCCGAAATCATCTCAAGATAACTCAAGATATAACATAGCTTTCCCTATAACCAGCAGTGGTCTGCTTTGTTTTGCTGACTTTATGGGTGCTTCTCCAGTATTGGCAGACATAAAATTCACAACAGTTTTATCATATTGCCACTGCTCTCTGTACCTCTTTAGAGGGAACCAGGCTCTAGCTCGTGGTCCGCCAGTAAGCCGAAAAGATCTCTGCAACTCATGGCACCTAGTATTTTGGCACTGTAGCTTCAGGAAGCCACAATGGGCTTTCCCCAAAACTTCAGGGTTAGAGGGAAACAGTGAGCAAAGTGCGAGCACAGAGCCATACAGACAAATAAAGGCAGCACAAAAAAGAAATGACTGAGCAATAACAGGAATCTGTAAGATGGCCACCTAAATCTATCAGCAAAGAGCCTACAAAGAATGTGGTTCAGATAAAACAAGATAATCAAAGCAAGAACTTGGAACCTGCCAATAATATGCATGAGGTGTATGTAAATATGGGCCATCAGGAAGAACTACTGGAACATGCAAATATAATAACCCAAAAAAAATTGCAGAAATATTCTAAATACAGGTTCGTGTTGCTCTGGGAGTTGCAAATTTGTCAACTCAAAACTGTGTGAAAATTGACTAAACAAGAAGGAATATGTACACAAACACTGCCCAGCATTTCAAATCAAAAGAACAAAGCGAGTACACTCAAAAGAATGCCATTATGAATACAGCAATAAGCACACATACTAGAGAATTTTTTTTAGTTAGAAAAAAAAAAAAAAAAAATATGCGAGACATGTCAAAACTCTACCCAACATGTCATATGCTACCAAAACCACATATTAATAGCAAGTAAAATTTGCAAAGGTGAAAGTGTTGCTGTGCTGGTGAAAGAACACCTAAAGGTAAACTACAGTAGTTAATGATTGACAACTCACGAGAAGTTGATATGTAAGAGCACTTTTAACTGAAACATCAATTGAATGTGCATTTCAACATTTGAGAAAGTCACCGACTCTCTTTGATAACACACTTGCCCTATCTGAAACCTGAGCCTACCATCTATGTTGTTGTAGTGCGCTGGACCCGGGGACGGAGCTGAAGCAGTATCTGAGGCAGAATCGGGGCCAGCGGGAGGAGGTGGGACAGTACCATCTTCTTCACAACTCGATGTTGAAGAGCCACTCTCCTCTTCGTCTGTCACAGTGGGTGGTCCATCACCCTTACCTGTCATGTCATAGATAAATTAGTTTTTGGACTTATTTTTGGTTTTTAGTATGATATAACTACCACCTTGAAGAATGTCAAGTAATTCTGATGCTGAGCATCTAGTAGCAATTTTTTAAAGCACTAAAAGCCATAGTTTTCTCAAAAACTTGTAATTATTCAGCTAAAAGTCAATGGCTATATGAAAGAATGGCTCAATTCTTTCCTAATTACTATATGAAGAATAATACCAAAAAATAAATCTTTCACTCTCCCATTATTATTGTACAATAATAAGGAGAGAGTGAATTTTGGGGAGGGTTGGATTTAAAATTAATGTCTTGTAAGTAACCCAACCCACACATGAAATAAAATGAAGGCAATGACAGTTTGGTCTATCCTGTGCCCCTACCAAGTAGTGACCGGAGCAGACCAAAACACTGTCATTTCATTTTGTATGTGTGGGTTGGGATACTTGTCTTCAGCCACATTATCGTGACAGTCACTGCAAATGAATGAATTATCCCTCAGTGAAACCCCAACTTGCCACTATGTCAGGGCATCAGATACAGCAAATTTCTGATAATCACCTCGCGACTTGCGGTACTCAGCGACCACATCATCGTACTTGTATTTTTTCTTAAAATTAAAGTAGAAGCTCTTGCACTGTCCCTCGGTCTTGTTAGGAAGTCGCTCGGCAACTTTTGACCAGTGGCATCCAACCTATTTATAAGGGAGAACTAGTATTAATAACAAACCCAGACAAGTCCCAAAAACTACGTACACTAATAATCCAACTCGCACACATGAAATAGAATAAAAGTGACAGCATTTTGGACCATCCTGGACCCTTATCAAGTCGTGATGACTTCATAAAAGTCTGCGTTAGACCAAGCATCGTCACTATTTCATGTGTGAGGTTGGGTTATTTGCTTCAACCATATTACTGAGACTCATTCTTTGCTTTTGCCCACTAATTAATACAGAATTTTTGTTTTGATATCCAAGAATATGAAACCCAAAATGGCTTGGGCTCGGCCCAACGTGGGTTTTAAACATTGTTATTAAGACAGGCCAAAATTGCAAATGTAAATCTTCAGATAGTCTAATGTGTGTTCTATCAGACATCTTTGGGCAAAATAAGGCACTGACCTTCTTCCTGACAATATCTCACTGAAGTGATTATTTCTGGAGAATTTGTTCACAAACTACATGCTCTTTAATATTATATATTTATAAATAATGAGCCAAGTAATTTAAGGTATTATCAGACACAAATCACCTGCTCCTTTTAGTTCCATTCACATTTTAGTGACACTACACTACACACAGAAATCACAATAGCGTGATGCATCAAATAAACAAATCCACTTGTACATCAATCCATTTGTACATTTTAGTGACATTTGCTGGATTCTTGCCTAGCTCACAACACAACTAACATCCCAGCTCAAGTCTTTTTCACATTTTTTGATTGAAGACTTTGCTAGTTCAGTAAGATATCTAGCTGCATGAGCTTCACCACAAGTATCTACTGTGCTCACACATTTTCTTTCATTATTAGCGGTTGCTTTTTGTGCTGGCATAACATATGGCACTTTTCTAATGCTTCATTATCTACTAATCATTTTTATAACAAATTTGTAAATATTTTTTCAACTTTATAAATAGGTGCCAAGAAGCATTTGATGAGTATTTATTTACTGACCAATGCAAGACTATTACATGGAAAAGTATAGGAAGAAGAAGAATGATGACAGCTTTTTTTATTTACACATACTTTTATTTTTGCTGTATTTCAGGTTTTGCAACGCTAGCACTGGTAGTCATAAATGGACAACAATCTCATATGAGCAACCTTTATACATGCAATACAGCAATGAACAATAAAAATTAACAATATTTATCATTTAATATAGATGTAAAAAGCAATTCATAAATTATTTTATTTTCATTTTTTTTCCAAATTTGGGTTTTTGGAGTATTAGATGCTTGAAATTTAATGAAAAAAAAAAATATGTAACAAATAATTGTATGTGAACAACACACACACACACACACGTGCATGAGCTAAACACATACACATGTGAATCAAACATATAATTATGTGTCAAGCAAACACATGTGTAATTGTGTGTGAACAACACACATTAATGTGGAACTGAATGTGACAATGCTAGAAAAAAGGAGGGAGCAGAGAGAGATGATAGAGATCTATAAAATACATAAGGGGATTAACAGAGTGGAAATAGACAAAATGTTCACACGGATACCAACAGAACAAGGGGACATGGGTAGAAGCTGGAAATTCAGACGAGTGACAGACGTTAGCAAGTTTTCATTTAGCATAAGAGTAGTGGAAAAATGGAATGAACTAAAGGAGCAGATTATGGAAGAAAACTCTATTCATAATTTTAAAAGTAGATATGATAGGAAAAGAGGACAGGAGGCATTGCTTTAAACTGTCCAAGAGCCAATGCTCGCCCCTGCAGGCACAATAGGTGAGTACATGTGGGTGAACCAAACATGCACGTACATGTGCATAAATCACACATACACACATACATATACATGAACCAAGCACACATACATGTGCGTGACCCAAATACATACGTACATGCATGTCATCCAAACACACATGAACAAATGCATTGCCAACCAAGTACTGTACACGTGTATGAAAAATGATGAATGCCTGGTGTTTCAGGTACCTGCCCCTCGTATTTACCAATACTGCACGGTACAAAACTGTAGTTGGGAGAAATATATTCCACCAAAGAGTTTTATTTATATTTTGTCTAAGTACTATGTCTCTGGTTAGGAATGGAAAATGCCCACCTTGTGGAGGTTCCAGGGATCATTGGCCCCGCAGCCCGATTTTCAATCAGGACTCCTGGGTTAACAGTGACAAATTAATGACCAGTAACTACTGCATAATACGATTAAACTCACCTCCCTGAGGGCACATCTAAGTGTGTCAATATCTTCATCTGACCATCGTGTTGGATCAACCGGCTCCTCAGCATCTGGACCCAACTTCCGTGTTATACGATTGTGGCAAGCCGAGCAGCATTTTGTCACGTCGCTTGGAATCTCTGCAGATAAACCATCACATGTTATAATCTAAATAAAAAAACACTATACAGGAAATTACATCTAACAAAGTTTAAAAAAAAAAATACACTTGATAGCAAATATTTACTTACGGAATTCTCTGATGATAGGATCCTTCACCTCGGGAGGTAGGTCAGACCACCGTGATGGAAAAGGACGCAGACGCTTCCCTCTCCACTTAGGGGTTGGACATGTCGGAATTGGGCATCTGGAAGACCCGCAAGCACAAACACATAATGAGATATAAACATTAAAGTACCTAAGTAATAAAAAAAAAAACTTAAGAAATAAGACACTCAAAATTTGCATTAAAGATTTGCAAATGAATTATAAACACTGTACATTAATGTGGAAGCAGGAAAGATATAATGAACATATAAAAATTTTCTGGTGTTTGGATGATGGTCTTCCAGCTGATTTTTTAGATTTTCTCCTTGAGAAAATCAAGAAAATTAAGGAACAAATAGCCAGCCTAAGCTTCACCGTGAACCCTTCCAAATACGAAAAGTCTACTCCATCTTCGGTGCTATAAATCAAATAAAAGCTGCCCACTCCAGTAATCACAATTATTCCTGGAGGCTAAAACGCTCCGAGTACCTCTGAGTTTTGTTGACACTGACATGACTCTCGGAAAGAAAATTGACGATCAAAAGTGGATAGACGATGGAATTACCGACATCAATATTCACAATGGAATTTACCTCCTCACTACATGCCTAGCCATCCCCAAGGTAATTTTTGAGATGGTGCCCTTCCCACATAAGTTCCAAGTTGATGAGTGCGACAATCTGCTCAGGTCCATGTTACAAAAAGTTCTCAACCTTTGACCACTTGATTATCTACTGTGGAAACAAGTCACTCTTCCCATCAGATTCAGTGGATTCAGTATCTAAACAGCTACCCAGATTTTTTTTTTACCAGTCATCTTATTCTCTTCCACTGTATCTGACAACCTTATCAAGGAAAGGGAAATTAATTTGTAATGATCTAGGAGGGTTAGCAGGGGTTCATGATCAAAGCTATCACACAATGCATTAGTCTGTGGGATGCTTTTGCAATCCCAGCACAGAGACCAGTCCCAGCAATAGTCATGTAGTGATCAAGTTGAGACAACCCTACTGACAAAAAGTAATTGCAACATTCTTTGAGGCTGTACAAACACCATGATTCTATGCCTGTTTCACAACTTTTAGTTCTCATGCAGGAAAATCTCCGTTTGGTTACCCCATACCTGCAAAAGGCAAACCTCCTCAATCCATATTTCCCCTCTTATACCACTGGCATACTACCTCACTGCCCTAATCCACACCTTGTGCAAGTTTTTTTTTTTTTTCAAACAAAAGCCAATGAATACAGACTGCAGTTTGAATTACGGATATGCCAAAAGAAGGCATGTAATACACAAAGTGCTTAACCCCCCCCTCCAGTACCAAGAAGAGAAACCTGTTTTCTATAATGCCCTGTAATTCTGTCAACCAGTTGCTTGCATATGTGGAAGGCAGAATGGTGCAGCTGGCGTGGCATTGTGTGTGTGTGTATCCACCATAGCGGACAGATATATAAACCTCATAACAGGCCAGGCAGGTGGAGCTGCCATCCCCATAAAATAATCAAGCCCAATAAGTATAGACCAAAAATAAAAAATTTTCCCTATAATATCTGAAATCTTGGAAGAAACAAAATGCCAAAAGGATTTAGGTTTCAAACTCATTGAAACAAAGAGACTCAAGCAGCCAGCTTCTTCTGCAGTACTTAGTGTAACAATTAGGAGGGAAAATGCCAAATGCATCCTTAGTTCCTAACATCCAAGAATTTCTAAGAAATCTATAGCCTTCAATATCATTCTCATAACTGCAAATTTAAGCAAATTAAAGTCACCCAATAAGTTAAATCAAATAACCATTACAGCATACACTTTTACTCCTGCACATAAAAAACATGAAGAGGAAAATATTCTGTAACCTATAATGTTTACAGTTCAAGTAAAGTACAGTACTTCCTTCAAATAAACCTAATAAACAAGATAGGAACTTACTGAGTAACCCTCCTGCGTACGGCTCGACATCTGCATGCATTACACACACGGGGATTGGCTGGCAGGTGGGATTCGGAAAGTCCATACTGGGAAGCTTGACCAGGCGCCACAGGTCGTGACTGGCCATAGTGTTCCAACTGAGCGTTACATACCAGGCACTCGTGAGGACCCCCTTTCCCTGTTGACAGTAATAATAGTACTCAATACTCTGTACTCATCACATTAATTCAATGCATACTGTGTATTATTACACCACACAAGCCCCATACATACACACAAATTGTGCTTTTACTAACCTGTACACTAGTTGATTAGAGGTAGAGAGGCAAAACCAAGGAGCTAATACTCAACCCCCACAAGAACAATTAGGCAAGTACACACATTTCTGAATGATTACTAAACAACATTTGTTTAAGTAAATTACTAGTAGCCAATTCTACCACATCAGCTTAGACAAGGAGCAAGTGGAAATATTAACTTGCTCTCATCAAAATTATACATCAGTTGTTTGTCCTTTATTGTTAAACACTTAGACAAAATAAACATTCTGTCTTGGCTTTTAAAATATGGGGTGAAGCTTTTAGTCTGGCTTTTCAATGCTATAAATACCCAACACAAGTGGTGCTTTTATCGACATTAAAACACATTTGTGAACATGATACATGCACCTTTCACCCTAGTACAATGGAGTTAATCAACGGAGAAAACCAAGAAAGCATTTACTGCCTAAGTGCATAAATTGCTTTCTAATTTGTAGGCAACTGGCTTTTACCTGCCCCCCATAATTTCCTCTGTGCAACTCTAATGACATTTCTTCATTACAGACACTTAACTCACATTCCTAACACTACACAGTCCCACACCATGCAATGATAAGACTGGTGGTGTATAGCTCACACGCTGTGACACCCTCGGCACCTCGGTTCACTATAGCAACCGATACTGCTCAATTCTGTCCACTTACTTACACTTTTTATTAGAAATATTCTCACAGCATGGGTATGTACAGTACTGCCCAGGATACATCAACTTAGGCCCACTAAGAAAGAGCTACAGCAATGGACAAAGGAATTCCTAGTCACCTATGCCAATACCCACAACCGTATACAGGTACTGAACAGTATTATAAAATCTTAAAAATACTTCAAGTTATGCTAAAAAAAAATATCAAAATATAATTACTAAAACTACCACAACAGCTCTAAATGGTAAAAATCTACATAGTATGTGACAATGTTCATAACAATAGTAGGCTTAAAGCACTAAACTAGAACTTAAAACAATTTAAACAATAATACTGAACAGTGGAACCATAATAAACTGGTGAAATTGGTTCCAAATACTTTCCATATGAGGTCACACCATGCTAATAAAGAGGAGGGAGCACCTATCCATGTGACGTCACACCATGCTAGTAAAGAGGAGAGGGAGCACCTATCCATGTGAGGTCACACCATACTAGTAAAGAGGAGAGGGAGCACCTATCCATGTGAGGTCACACCATGCTAGTAAAGAGGAGAGGGAGCACCTATCCATGTGAGGTCACACCATGCTAGTAAAGAGGAGAGGGAGCACTTATCCATGTGAGGTCACACCATGCTAGTAAAGAGAAGAGCCCCTATCGGACATGTTTAACATCTGCCGGAACCTATCAGGCCACACAAAATGACTCCCATAAATTGTATTGTGCAATTTATAGCACAGTAAAGGTACTGAGCAGTAAAACTTTTCTAAAAATAAAAATAAAATAAAAGCATAAAAATATAGGCAAAAAAAATGTTAGTTTTTGTTAGTTTTATGAATTTGATAGTTTTGTCCCCTGAGCCAGTAAAGTATGACATTTAAAAATAGCAGGCAGTGTAAAGCTTTCTTGCAATAGCACTTTAAACTAATGATTACAACCATCCCATAGCATTATGGATGGACCTCCCTTGTGACCCTTGAGCAAAAATATAGGGTACAACCTTAGTGTATACCTGAATCCCAAAACCAGTGGATACCTGTTTTCCAAAACTGGTGTATACCTCAATCCCAAAACCAGTGTATTGTATACCTGAATCCCAAAACCCATGTCCATCACCGATTGTACCCTTGCAGCCATGCCCAATCTATCCCAGCAGGCAAAACATGCTCGAGTAACGTTATATGAACGTTGGACCAATGCTCTAAACATCTTTATTCTTACATCAACGTCATTGTCCCAGATTTCGCCGGGGGAAGAGGATGTTGGGCTTTTCAGGTGTTAGAAAATCCATGCTGGTTCACAAATAATCAAATAAGGAAGACGTGCTCTATTGCCTCACGAGCACTCTTAGACCCATGAATGGATCAACTCTCAAATACTATTGTTGAACCTGCACTTATGGAAACCAAACTGCCCTTTCTGGAGAAAGTATATAATAAAAAAAGTATATAATAAATGCAAGCTACAGAGATCGAGAATAATTTTTACCCCATAACGGCTATAAAGTCAAGAGCTCAGGAGTTGAAGCAAGTAAACCCCCTCACAAATATGAATCTTAATACATACGCACACTGTTAAACATATTGTGAAGTAGTGAAATGAGGTAGGAAATGTGGTGATTCCAGACCTTAAGCACATTCAAAAGAATGATAAGAGAAAGAAAAAGCACAGGAGAGAGGAAGAAGGGAGAGAGAGGAATGAGGGAGAGGGGTGGTAGGAGATGTGGGGGAAGGAGGGAGACAGGGGAGAAAGAGAGAAAATGAGGATGTCAGAAACAGAGGAATGAGAGAAAGAGTGTGTTATTAAAAAAATCATTTACTGTATATTCAAATGAAGCTTAACCAATTAAACCGATTGGAATAGTGAATACAACATGCACACTGTGATAAATAAAAGTGACTCCACTCCTCCAACTTGCACGACTTAGTAAGCAGCAGGTTCCTGGTAAGTGCCTCACTCCTTGCAACGTACACGCTCCACACACGACCAACATTCTGTATGCTTCTGCCATCCTTCATACTTTGGCCATAATAAGTGAATTCATGGTATCATCAATCTTGCAACTACTATAGGCGCCTTGTAATGATCCTTACTACTCTTGTAATGATCCTTACTACTATAGTCCTACTGCTACATTCATTGCACTATTATTGTACTGCCATCAACAATCTAAGGACAGGTACCATTAATGGCAGGGACTGCCACCAGTAACGCTGAGGACTGCCACCAGTAACCGTGAGGACTGCCACCAGTAACCGTGAGGACTGCCACCAGTAACCGTGAGGACTGCCACCAGTAACGCTGAGGACTGCCACCAGTAACGCTGAGGACTGCCACCAGTAACGCTGAGGACTGCCACCAGTAACCGTGAGGACTGCCACCAGTAACCGTGAGGACTGCCACCAGTAACCGTGAGGACTGCCACCAGTAACCGTGAGGACTGTCACCAGTAACCGTGAGGACTGCCACCAGTAACGCTGAGGACTGCCACCAGTAACGCTGAGGACTGCCACCAGTAACTGTGAGGACTGCCACCAGTAACCGTGAGGACTGCCACCAGTAACGCTGAGGACTGCCACCAGTAACCGTGAGGACTGCCACCAGTAACGCTGAGGACTGCCACCAGTAACGCTGAGGACTGCCACCAGTAACGCTGAGGACTGCCACCAGTAACCGTGAGGACTGCCACCAGTAACCGTGAGGACTGCCACCAGTAACCGTGAGGACTGCCACCAGTAACCGTGAGGACTGCCACCAGTAACCGTGAGGACTGCCACCAGTAACGCTGAGGACTGCCACCAGTAACGCTGAGGACTGCCACCAGTAACCGTGAGGACTGCCACCAGTAACCGTGAGGACTGCCACCAGTAACAGTGAGGACTGCCACCAGTAACAGTGAGGACTGCCACCAGTAACCGTGAGGACTGCCACCAGTAACGCTGAGGACTGCCACCAGTAACAGTGAGGACTGCCACCAGTAACCGTGAGGACTGCCACCAGTAACCGTGAGGACTGCCACCAGTAACCGTGAGGACTGCCACCAGTAACCGTGAGGACTGCTACTAGTAACCATAAGGACTGCCATTAGTAACAGTGAGGACTGCCACCAGTAACAGTGAGGACTGCCACCAGTAACCGTGAGGACTGCCACCAGTAACAGTGAGGACTGCCACCAGTAACCGTGAGGACTGCCACCAGTAACGCTGAGGACTGCCACCAGTAACAGTGAGGACTGCTACCAGTAACCGTGAGGACTACCACCAATAACGGTAAGGACTGCCACCAATAACGGTGAGGACTACCACCAGTAACGGTAAGGACTGCCACCAATAACGGTGAGGACTACCACCAGTAACGGTAAGGACCACCACCAATAATGGTGAGGACTACCACCAGTAACGGTAAGGACTGCCACCAATAACGGTGAGGACTACCACCAGTAACGGTAAGGACTGCCACAGGAAAAGATCGCGCTTCTGTCATGGCTGTCTTGACCAACACTAAACATAACACACGCCATCACTAACTCTTTAACTTTGTCTCTGATACTACAAATGTTTTGAGTGCCATATAATACTCACCTACTGACGTAGTAGGTTGTAACCTCGTGAAATATTTTGTTCAAGTGCAGACAATGAGCCACAGTAACGTGGCTGAAGATATGATGACCATTATCAATCCACACAAGACTTAATAGAGGTCCAGGACACAGCAGCACCAATACAACCTAATTGAATTCCTCCAATGGTGAGGATATGTTAATTTGGCAATAAAGATGTTGATAATAAGTAACTAGGGAAAAGTGAGGTCTAGCTCCTTGTGCCCAGTCTAGAAGCCATGTTGCCCTTCACGGCGGCCGAGCGCTTATAGATAATTACCATACTACAGTTTCTCTATTCTTTTTGTAACGAAATTCGCTTCACTTTATATAAAACTTATGGGGCAGATTAGCTCGTATTAAATACAACTGATTCTATCATATGTATTAAATACAATTGCTTCTCTCCATCACAGGGCGTCGAATGTCAACCGCCTTCCGTGCTTTAGCTAAAACACTTAGTGATTGCCACAAGTTGTGTTTTGTTAACGTGTTTGAAGAATCGAGAACCAAGCTCCGAATTTCATCAGGTTCCATGTCAGCAGAATGGTCTCCTCATACAAGATTAAAGTTGTGGTATAGACACAAACGTCCAGCTAGGTAGTCACCCCCCCCC